CCCATCACCATCAGTGCAAACACAGCCCAAGGATGCACCGTTCGCAGCTGCCTCTGTGCACACCCTGGGATCCTTCTTCAATTAAAAATTTCCAGCCTAGTTTACGCTAAAAGCTGTAACTTATGAATTTGTATTCTTGCTGTGGGCTCTGCAAGGATTGCTTTGATTTTACCGTCCAAATTGTGCTTAACTCTGCAGCCCTTGCTCTCCAAAACGACGCCAAGCCCAAGCGCCCAATGCAAGCAACTCCCCATCACCACCGCAGGATGGGGATGCAGAGCCAGGGAGGTGGAGAGTCCCTGGGATCCCTGCGGACAGCGCTGTGCCGTGGTCGGCCGTTTGTCCCTCAGCCCATTAGATATTCCCTGGGATTTCATCCCTCCCCGTGCTTCCCGTTGCCCTGGCACCACTGGCATCATGAGCAGCAGTGCCCTGTGTGGGCCCCTCTGTGGGTCCCGGATCCCTACGGAGCCCTCTCCCTCCCCACTGAGCCAGCAATTGGTTATGACCCGAGGGCTTAATTGGACGGGTATCAAGTAGCCACAGGCACAGCTGAAACAACAGGGTCCTAAATACGTGGCCTGACCTTTCTGAAGCGCTAAACATCCACATTTCCACACTTAGAACCTTGGTTCAGACAGCCACTTTTGCAAAAATCTTGGCCATGTGCATGTAAATAGCAACGTACGTTTTGAGTCGATTAGCCCGCGTGATGCACCGTGGACTCGGTGATGGATGCAGCAGCGGGAATTTGGAGGAGTTTCCCTGTGGGAGAAGCGATGCACGGGCTGTGCTCCCTTATGGAGGCTGGAGCCCTCCCGGGAGCAGGTACCCGGCACCATGGCCCACTCCATCGCTCATCCTGCAGGGAATTCAGCCCTCCGTGCACATAAATCCCCCAAATGCACCAACATGCTCTGGTGTCTCCATCCTGGCCAGCAGCAGCCTCCCAAATGATCCTCAGGCTGCTCCTCCTTGGAGCCAAGGTACAAAATCCAGGTCCCTTCAGCTTTGCACTCCCAGGCTGGGAGGTCACCTGAGCTCTAATGTCACCCAGTGGGTCACAACCCCAGGCCCTACACAGGGGACAGTCGGGTTGAACCTCTCAGGAGCTGCAATGCCAGGGCCAGCTCCTTCCCCGCGCTGGCATGCCGAGAACAGCAACTGTTTATAGCATTTCTCTGTTTCTGTGAGAAAATAATTCTGCATTCAGCAACACTTGCATGTGTCATGAGTTCCTCTCAGCTTTGCCAAGACACTTATAAGGAAAACAGAGTAAAAATACATTTAAAATTGCCAATTATTTCAGCACTTTTTTATATATAACTGAAGTCTCGAACCTGCCTGAAATTGAATTTCTTTAAAGTAATACTCTGCACCACTCGTTTTTAACACGCTTTCTGAGGTGCCCTGTTCTGCCCCTCATCTCCAGGCACTGATCTAGAAGGACACGGGGGTTTTGCAGGTCCTGCGTTTCCCATCCATTTTGGACCTTGCAGATGTCCAAGGCTGCCTCTGATGGGCCTGGTCTCTTCTGTGCGAGCCCCGTCTCACCTGGATAGACTCAGTGTGGCCACCGGCACGTGCACAGTCCTGCATGCAGTCTGCAAAGGGAAAGGGACATGTCCCAGGCCTATTTCTCAGCCCAGCCATCTCCACATGCCCAACGCTACCCTGGTCCTTATCCTCACTCAGGCAGGAGTCCTGGGCACAGCCGGTCCGGGCCCAGGGCACATTTCCTCTCCCAGCTCTGCTCGTGTCTCTCCAACCACCACACAGGACTTTATTGCATTATTCAGGTCAAAGGGAATCCTAAAACTCCAGAAAGTTGAGAAAAGGGAGCCTGGAGAAAGACGGAGCAACCTGCAAAACTAGCCAGGAGAGATGGGACACAGAACCCCTGCAGCAAACAACAAACAGGTTCTCACAGATGGAAGAAAGCTACCGCACACAACGTCTTAATATGCACCCTGCTGATTTTAGTGCGCAATAAGACCAAATCACAACAGGCAAAATGAACCGATTATGGGATCTCATTTGATGACTGTGTTCTTGTCAGTAGATCAACTGCTGCATTGATCTCTCCTTCCGTGTCAATCAGAGCCTGCAGGTTTGCGTTTTGGTCCTGGAAGCCCATGGCACTGAGCTGCTGCATTTGTCTGTCAAATCTGGTCTGTGGTTCTTGCTCGTCCATCTCCTCCTGGCTTTCTGTGTCTTCCTTGTCTGACATTAGACTTACATCTTCCTCAGATTCACTGCTTTTTGCAGACTCTTCCATGCTTTCCAGATCCAGCTCCACATCTGGATCCCCCAAACTGAGTAAAAAATCTGGGACTTCAGCTGAGAGGGTCTGTAAACCCAGCTGGACCTGTAGCAAAGCCTGCAGCGCCCTGGGGTTTCTCAACAAGGAGGAAATCTCAGTGTTCTCCATCTCTGGAGGCAGCTGCTGGGCCCTTTCGTCTTGCAGCGGAGAACTTCCATCACCTAAATCATGGGCGTTATTCACCAGTATTTGTGCTGCTGGGCCCTGGGGGTCCGTTAATGCATTCTCCAGGTTATGCATGAGCTCCGAGTTCTCCGTTAGCTGCTGGACCATGCTCTGGATGCTCCCTGATCTGGGCAGCACTGCCCTTACTGCAGGCCCCAAATTCAGCACAATGAAATTGTGCTCTGCGCCGCCGTAGCCATCCTGGCCACTGTAGTCGTTTCTGTTATCGCTAGCCCCGTTCGACGGAGGGGCCCAAGGATTGGGCAAAGGCCTCCGGTTTTCGGTACAGGCTGGCAGCCTGGTTCGGTTCGGGGACGGGTTGCTGTCCTGTGAAGCAAACGGGTTGTTCTCCGGTTGTGTCTGCCCAGCATCCAGCATGGTCTCCTCAATCTCCCTGTAGAGCTGCTCCAGGGCACTGAACCCGCCGGGGATGCTCTCGAGGTTGTTCAGGGCACGGTCGTGGTTCCTTATCATCTCCTGCATCATGGCAGGGCTGTTGCAGGCTTCTAATATTTCTCTGATGAAATGCGGATTGGTGAGAATGTGGCTGATTTCAGGGTTTTGCTCAACCAGCTGCTGCACCTGAGGGATGGACATGACGAAATCCCTGGCAATGTCAGCGCTGAGGATGATGGTCTGCACAGAGGAGTCCTGCATGATGTCACTTAGCAATCTGTGCAAGGTCGTGTCTCGCTCCTGGAGCCTGCTCACCAAGTCTGACACCTCTGTTGAGTCCAGCCCTGTGATATGTATGCCCGTCACGCCAATGAGAAACCCCAGCAAAAACAAGTTGTTGTTGATGGTATCCATATCCAGGTCTGAGCTGGCGAGCTCGGACAAGAGGTTTTCCATGGTCTGGGCCACTAGTTCCTGGCTGGAAGCCAGCATGACTTCAAACTGACTCTGGAGATCAGGGATATGAAGATGGTTGAAGCCCTGGCTTTGCAGATCCGCTATGCTTTCCAAGAAAAGCGAGTTGGAATTGCTGTGGCCGGAAGATTGCATCCACGTGGCCGCAGGGCGTTGTTCCGCCTGGCCATCCTGCGGGCTCTTCTGGGACCTGATGACAAGGTGGATGCTGACCCCACTGTGGACTCCATGCTGGCTCAAAGTGTCCTGATCCTTGAGGATTTTCCCAGCAAAAATCAGCGCCAGCAGCTCAGGGGGAGTTTTGAAACGCTTGGAGATTTCTTCCTTAAACTCCTGCACGGTGCTGCTCTGAGCAACCTCAAACTGCTCCTTCTGCTTGAGGGTCTTCACAGTCACTCTGATGGTGTCCGACGGATCCGTGGCCACGACGGCTTCGCTAGCCCCGGCCGCCTGCTCCTGCTCCGCGGCCGCCGGGCGCAGAGCGCTCATTCCAGCGCGATGTTGCGCAGCCGCTCCGCTCGCTCACCCTCCCAGGGGCTCCGTCATGTTCCTCGCGCCGCGGCCGCCCCTGCCCACGCGCGGCCGGCCCGCGCGCGCTGTGACCTCATCGGTGACGTCACAGTGCGGGGCCATGGCGGGCCGGGGGGCG